AGGTCATTGCAAACTTCAAAAAACTGTACACAAAAGCTCTGTTTGAAAGGTGCTTTGTAGTGACCTCAGAAACTCAATTGACTCTAAGAGAGTTTTGGAGAGATCACTTTAATATCCTCAATTGTGTAAACTTCATAGGTAAGGCTTGGGAGGGAGTGACTAAGAGGACCTTGAACTCTGCTTGGAAGAAACTGTGGCCAGAATGTGAAGACAAAGGGGATTTTGAAGGATTTGAGGCTAACCCTGAGAGGCGTATGCCAGTTGAGGAATCAATTGTGGCATTGGGGAAGTCCTTGGGGTTGGAGGTTAGTGGAGAGGATGTGGAAGAGTTGGTGGAGGAGGACAATGAAGAACTAACCACTGATGAGCTGCTAGATCTTCAACAGGAAGAGGCCACACCTGAGGAAACTGCTTCGGAGGAGGGGACAGAGAAATTGAAGAAGTTGCCTACTTCGAAGATTAAGGAAATCTGTGCAAAGTGGCTTGAAGTGCAAACCTTTATGGATGAAAATCACCCTCAGACAGCTGTTGCAAGCCGTGTTGGCAACCTGTACATTGAGTGTTGTGAACCACTTTAGGAAAGTCATAAAGGAACGAGAGGTACAGGCCTCTATGGACAGATATGCTGTGCGACAGAAGTCCAGTGACTCTGAAGCTGGTCCTAGTGGCATTAAAAGAAGAAGGGAAGTAACCCCGGAAAAGGACTTGACACCTCAAGTCCTAATGGAAGGGGATTCCCCTTCTAAACACCAAAACCATCAACACTCTCCCCTCCTCCCATCCCATCAATCATCACCAGATCTTCAGTAAGGTAAGTGTCATGTAACTGTGCATGTCTTCTTCAGTTTGTGTGTATTAAAATTAATATTTCATGTGGTAAAAATTTTTTTTTTCGTACTTTTGGGTGTCTCGCACGGATTAATTTGATTTCCATTATTTCTTATAGGGAAAATTAATTCGCCTAATGATAATTTCGCCTAACATTGAGCTCTCAGGAACGGATTAATAGCGTTATGCGAGGGTCCACTATATTCCATTCATTTTAGTGCTTGCAAGTGCTAAATAAGCTACCATGGCTCCAAAGAAAGCTCCTAGTTCCAAGCCTTTGGTAAAGGTGAGAAATACGCCTGAATTTAAGAAAAGCATCATTGAACAATATGAAAGTGGCGTACGTGTGGCCGAACTGGCCAGGATGTATAACAAATCCCGTACAACCATATCTTCCATTGTGGCCAAGAAAAAGGAAATCGAGGAAGCTGTTGTTGCAAAGGGGGTAAATATGCTGACAAAAATGAGATCACCAGTACTCGAAGAGGTTGAGAAGTTATTATTGGTGTGGATAAACGAGAAACAATTAGCAGGAGATAGTCTTATGACGTCGATTATTTGTGAAAAGGCTAGGCAGTTGCATGACGATCTGGTAAAGAAATTGCCTGCAACGAGTACTGATATTTGTGAATTTAAGGCCAGCAAAGGTTGGTTTGAGAGATTTCAGAACCGTAGTGGCATACACAGTGTGATAAGGCATGGCGAGGCTGCCAGTTCAGACAAAATTGCAACTACAAAATTCGTAAGTGAATTCAAGGAGTGCATAGAGGCTGAAAGACCAAAACCTGAACAAGTGTTCAATTGTGACGAAACAGGCCTCTTTTGGAAGAAAATGCCAAAGAGGACCTACATTACTCAGGAGGAAAAGGGACTGCCAGGACACAAGCCTATGAAAGACAGGCTGATGCTCATGTTCTGTGATAATGCTAGTGGGGATTTCAAAGTGAAGCCGTTACTAGTGTACCATTCTGAAAATCCAAGAGTGTTCAGAAAAAACAATGTTATGAAGAGTAAATTGTGCGAGTTTTGGAGATCTAATAATAAGGCATGGGTCACGAGGGAAATTTTCGTCGAGTGGTTCAATGAAGTGTTTGGCCCTAGTGTGAAGAGTTACCTCCTGGAAAAGAAATTGGATCTCAAGTGCCTCCTAGTAATGGACAATGCACCTGCTCATCCTCCAAACTTTCTTTCTTTCAACACATCGGCCGTATCCCACTGAGGCGGGGTGGCCCAAAAGGGAAAACAAAAGTTTCTACTTTTACATTTAGTAATATATACAGGAGAATGAGACCTAATTCTGCAGGAGTTTGGGTTCATCACAGTAAAGTTCTTGCCCCCGAATACCACTCCTCTCGTGCAGCCCATGGACTAGCAGGTCATTTCAAACTTTAAAAAACTCTACACCAAAGCAATGTTTCAAAAGTGCTTTAATGTGACCTCAGACATTCACTTGACCCAAAGAGAGTTTTGGAAAGAACACTTGAGTATCCTCCATTGCATAAGCCTTATAGGTAAGGTTTAGGAGGGAGTAACTACCAGGATTTGAACTCTGCTTGGAGAAAATTGTGGCCAGATTGTGTCCACAAGAGGAATTTTGAAGGGTTTGTGGCTGACCCTGAGGAGCTTATGTCAGTTGTGAACTCTATTGTAGGACTGGGGAGTTCCATGGGGTTGGATGTGAGTTTGGAGGATGTGGAAGAGTTGGTGGAGGACCACAACGAAGAGCTAACCACTGAGGAGCGGCAAGAGCTTCAGCAGGAACAGCAACAGATCGAAGCTCAGAATCTTGCTGCAGAGGAGGAAGAAGAGAGATGGAAGAAGGTGCCTTCTTCAGAAATTAAGGAGATTTCTGAAATGTGAGGTAGGATGGAATGATTTATGGAGAAACATCACCCTGAGAAGGATGTTGCAAGCCATATTGGCAACTTGTACAGTGACAGAGTCTTGGCCCATTTTAGTGAAGTTTTAAAGAGATGCCAGAAACAGAGCTCTCTGGACAGTTTTTTTGCGAGACAGGACTGCAGTGACTCTCAAGCTGGTCCTAGTGGCATTAAGAAACAGAGAAGAGAACTAACCCCAGAAAAGGACTTGGTACCTGAGGTGTTGATGGAAGGGGATTCCCCTTTCAAACAGTAACTAATCCACTCTCTCTCCTCCTCCAGTCTTCCATACATTAAGAAGAATCGCCAATAAAGATAAGTGTTATGCTGTTAATGTTTCATTCATCATGTCCCATTGTATTGTTTATGTACTACATCTACATGTCATGTAAAAAATTTTTTGTTATAATACTTCTGGGTGTCAGGAACGGATTAATTGTATTTACATTATTTCTTATGGGGAAAATTGATTTGAAAATCGTCTTTTTTGATAATCGTCACACTTCCAGGAATGGATTAACGATGATAAACGAGGGACCACCGTACGTATAAAGATACGCAACATATCCCCCAAAACTGCCAATATCTCAAACCCCTCCTTGAAAGTGAAGGCATTGTACTTCCCATTTCCAAGACTCAAGTCTGGCTATATAAAAATAACCGGTTTCCCTGAATCCCTTCACTAAATATTACCCTGCTCACACTCCAACAGCTCGTCAGGTCCCAAATACCATTCGTCTCCATTCACTCCTACGTAACACACTCATGAACGCTTGCTGGAAGTTCAAGCCCCTCGCCCACAAAACCTCCTCTACCCCCTCCCTCCAACCTTTTCGAGGACGACCCCTACCCCGCCTTCCTTCCCCTAGAGATTTATACGCTCTCCATGCCATTCTACTTTGATCCATTCTCTCTAAATGACCAAACCACCTCAACAACCCCTTTTCAGCCCTCTGACTGATACTTTTATTAACTCCACACCTTCTCCTAATTTCCACACTCCGAATTTTCTGCATAATATTTACACCACACACTGCCCTTAGACAGGACATCTCCACTGCCTCCAACTGCCTCCTCGCTGCAGCATTTACAACCCAAGCTTCACACCCATATAAGAGTGTTGGTACTACTATACTTTCATACATTAAATTCTTTGCCTCCTTAGATAATGTTTTTGTCTCCACATATACCTCAACGCACCACTCACCTTTTTTCCTTCATCAATTCTACGATTAACCTCATCCTTCATAAATCCATCCACTGACACGTCAACTCCCAAATACCTGAAAACATTCACTACTTCCATACTTCTTTTTCCCAATTTGATATCCAATTTTTCTTTATCTAAATCATTTGATACCCTCATCACCTTACTCTTTTCTATGTTCACTTTCAACTTTCTACCTTTACACACACTCCCAAACTCGTCCACTAACCTCTGCAATTTTTCTTTAGAATCTCCCATAAGTACAGTATCATCAGCAAAAAGTAACTGTCAATTCCCATTTTGTATTTGACTCCCCATAATTTAATCCCAACCCTCTCTCAAACACCCTAGCATTTACTTCTTTTACAACCCCATCTATAAATATATTAAACAACCATGGTGACATTACACATCCCTGTCTAAGACCTACTTTTACTAGGAAGTAGTCTCCCTCTCTTCTACACACCCTAACCTGAGTCTCACTATCCTCATAAAAACTCTTTAAAGCATTCAGTAACTTACCACCTATTCCATATACTTGCAACATCTGCCACATTGCTCCCCTATCCACTATCATATGCCTTTTCTAAATCCATAAATGCAATAAAACTTCCCTACCTTTATCTAAATACTGTTCACATATATGCTTCAATGTAAACACTTGATCTACACATCCCCTACCACTCTAAAACCTCCTTGCTCATCCGCACTCCTACATTCTGTCTTATCGGTAATTATTTCAATTATAACCCTACCATACACTTTTCCTGGTATACTCAGTAAACTTATTCCTCTATAATTTTTACAATCTCTTTTGTCCTCCTTCCCTTTACATAAAAGGCCTAGACATGTAATTGTATACATGTATATGTATATCTATACATGTATATGCATATTGCATATTTTTATTTACAGGGAAAGAATGGGCTTTGTAGCTTTCTGTTAACCTTTTTTTTGTGGTTGGGGGGGGGGGGGGGGTTGTCAAGGACTGTTTGATAAATAAAAAGACAATCACAAGCACATTTTCCAGAAATTAAGAGGTAGATATGAATGCTGTTTTAACGTGGTAACCAGTAGCATCTCACCTGAGAACATAACATCTTCCCACACACAAGACACATCGTGGGCGTTCGAGAGTCATCCCCAGAAGACGCTGGGCATGGGAATTGTGACACAGTATTAATCAGCTCAGAATAATCATGTGGGAGCCTTACAAGCTGATTAATACGAACCCAAGATTTCACACATCCTTTACTACCAGCACCACCAACCAATGCCCCTACACGACTATCACAACACCATCTGAAATGATTTGAGAGGATAAAAGAATGATAACAAGAAAATTAAAGAAATATAAGCATCATAGAAAGCTGTAAACTATATCAATGTACAACAGTTACTTATTTTATTAAAGAACTGAACCTGTGTATTCAGTGGCATATTCTTCACATTATTCAACTGGATATGACAATTTTGACAGCTAAGTAAAGCAAAATGTCAGTAACAACTTACATGCCACACAAGCATGAAAAACATGCTGGTAATTACTGTGCTACATAACCATAGCCTGTAATTCAAAACACTTAAAGGTGCTGAAAAATCTAGGCAAAACATTTTAAAATATACTGAAAAATCTGTCATGGGAAGAATCCTCTAAGCTTCCCTCTTATATAACAAGTATGTTAATTAGGCCCAAAGATATCGAATACAAACTTTGGTATGTAAAAATTTTAAATGTATTGAAGATTGATTATTCAGAGTTCACTATTTCTCTCATTAATAAAGATGAAAAAGGCACATGCCATGTCTGGGACAATCCACTAATAACCCGCACATTGGAGACAAATTTATGACAATGTTTCAGTTCGGCTTGGACCATTAACGTCCAGCTTCTGTGTCTAGTTAATGGTTCAAGTTGGACTGAAATGTCATCATTAGTGCCAGTCTCCTACAAGTGGGTTATTTGTGTATCTATCAGTAAGAAATAATCAACTCTTCCAGCATGGGGAAGCTACTAAAAAAATTATTTTTCGTGAGGCTGAGTTACTGTTATGCTCCAGTATTGTACATACAAAAAATAAGACAACAAAGTATGATATGCTGTGTATGTATATGTGTATGTATATACATGCATACACACACACACACACATATAGGGCCCAGAAGCTAAAACTCAACCCCTGCAACCACAAACAGGCAAGTCTCAATAGGAAAGTGTTTGCACACAAAAAATATGGTACCGAATGTTCAATATAAATACTTGGAAATTTAGTGATACACTGTAAAGATTATAACTTATCTAAAATATGTTTACCTGTTGACTAGCTCTGAAAGTGCTGGAGAACTAAATGTGGGTCTGAGCTGGTTCATTGCCAAGCCCAGATAGCGAAGAAGACAGTAAAACTCAGATTCGGGTACCCAGACTGAGGACTGAAGCTCTTCTGGAGCAGGAACTTCAGTCAGAAAGTGGAAGAACAGACCACAGCACCTTAAAAATGGCAAGCTGAAAAAAAAAATGAAAGAAATGGGATGTGTCAATGTTAATGCTTTTTATTACAATTAAAAATTGTACAGTTCTCCATTGTAGTAATATCAACTACAGTAAAAGTATCTATCAGAAAGAATGTAAGTCTTAGAGAAAAAGGGATGGTCAAAGCTGTCTTGCTTCTGACCTTATAGCTGCTTACTAGCATGAGCACAGATTGATAAGAATCCCTATCAGGAATTATTATTATTTTTTTTTTTTTTTTTTTTTTTTACAAAATTTGGTATCATTCTTAGTGTGGTAAACACATTGAATAAACTATGTGAAGAAGTTGTGGAGACAAAATCTGCACACAATTTCAAGATAAGGTATGATAGGACCCAGGAGGCCAGGAACTAGTATATGCTGGTCCAATTTTGAGGGGTTAAAGTGGCAGTACAGGAGCAGAGTCCCAACCCTCTCAATTCAGCATCGGCAAGTAAGCATTCATCCTTGTAATTCTTCCAGACAGGATTTCTCTGATACACTTTCTCAGATCACTGTATTTTACTTCATAGTAACATACTTGCTCCTGTGAATTGTCTTTCCAGGTTGTATTTAACAGTACATGTTATTTCCAATAAAGCAAGATAACTTTCTTGGTGAATTTATATAGTTAATGTTGAGAATTCCTTGTCTTTTCTAGGAAATATTAGGTCTAGTATTGACAGGCTGTTGCCTTCTCTCACATGAACTGCTTATTTAATCTGTCAATGCAGAAAACTAGTTATCACATAGAAATGTGCCTGACCATTCATTTGCAATCTCTGCCTTTTCATGATCACCCCTATTGGCAGTTTAACCTTTTCAGGGTTTCCGATGTACTAGTACGGCTTACACACCAGGGATATTGACGTACTACTAGTATGCCTAAATTCTAGCGCCTTCAAATCTAGCAAGAGAAAGCTGGTAGGCATACATATGAAAGAATGGGTCTATGTGATCAGTGTGCGCAGTATAAAAAAAATCCTGCAGCACACAGTGTGTAATGAGAAAAAAAAAAAAAAAACTGACAGTGTTTTTGGTTTAACCCTTTCAGGGTCCGTCCCGTAGATCTACGGCTTTACGTTCAGGGTCCAAACCGTAGATCTACGCCATGAGCTCAGCTCACTCTGATAAACTGTGAGTGGTACATTTAGGCCTAGATATGAGAGAATACATCTATGTGGTATGTGCACACCACATAAAACAGATCCTGCAGCACACTGTGTATAGTGAGAGAAAAAAAATGAAATCATGATTTTTCAATTAAAACAGCAACTTTGCAGTGTTTTTTCGTATGTTTTTTATAGTTGTATTTGCGATTTCTTGGTCTCATTTGATAGAATGGAAGACATATTACAGAAATAGAGATGATTTTGATTGGTTTTAGCACTGGAAATGGCTTGAAACTGAGCTCAAAGTAGCAGAAATGTTAAATTTTTGCCGATATTCAAGAGTAAACAAACGACCTCACACATCTAATACACGTCAGCTGGTGGGTCTAATATACATTCACAAATATGGTGATGATATTTATACAATTATTACAGTATTGCATAACAGTAAATTTTCTATTTTTTGGTGTGAATAAAAATTCATTATGTGAATAAAAAATCAAAATGGAATTTATTTGTAAAGCCTCAAAACATAACTAATGAACAGAGGAAATGTTAGTTTAGTGCCAGGAATGCCTACATTGTTCATTCTGGACCCTATTTTGAAATTAGAATATTTTGAACTTTGTGTTAAATTGGCCAAATTAACAATTTCCGATCACTTTATTTTGTAGTTGAAACAGTTGACTTGGCGATTTCTTGTGCTCAATCGATAGAATAGAAGTAATACTAGTGAAATAGCTAAGAATTTGGTTGATTGGAATAATGTAATTGGCCTAAAATGGGAGTCAAAGTCGGCAAAATCGCCAATTTGTAAATATCGCTGACACATCAAAATTCGTGAGAGCATAATTTCGTCAATTTTCCACCAAATTTCGTACTTTTTGTTTTATTACCTTCACAAAAAGATTCTCTATGATTTCATAAGAAAAAATAAAAATTTTTTTTTTGAAAATTCTTGGACACTGGTGCGTGACTCCAGATTTGGGCCTTGGACCCTGAAAGGGTTAAAACAGCGACTTTGCACTGTATTTTCGTATGGTATTTATGGTTGTATTCTAGTTTTCCTGGTCTCATTTTATAGAATGGAAGACATATTACAGAAATTGAGATAATTTTAATTGGTTTGACAATGAAAAGTACCTTTAAATTGAGCTCAAAATAGCAGAAATGTTCGATTTTTGCCAAAGTTCAAAAGTAAACAAATCATGCCACGTGTCCAATACACATCAACTGGTGTGTCTAATATTCTTTCACAAGTGCGCTGATATTATTTATACCATTTCTACACTAATGCAGTAGTCTGCATAACAGTAAATCTTCTATTTTTTGTGAGAATAAAAATTCAAAGTGGAAAGCAAAAGAAATGTAAGAGGGGCCTGGGGATGTGACTAATGAACAGAGGAAATGCTATTTTAGTGCCAGGAATGTCTGTCTTGTTTACTCTGGACCCTATTTGGAAATTGGCATCTTTTGAAATTTGTGTGAAATTGGCAAAAATTGCTAATTTCTGACCACTTTATTGGATAGTTGAAATCAATAAATGGGTGGTTTCTTCTACTTATTTGATAGAAAAAATGGAGTTCTAGTGAAATAGTTATGATTTTTGTCGACTAGTACACTGGAATTGGGCGAAAATAGGGCTCAAATTGGGTGAAATTGCCGATGTGTAAACATCGTCGAGACCGCTAACTTCATGAGAGCATAACTCCGTAAGTTTGCCATCAAATTTCATACTTTTGGTGTCATCTTGATCAGGAAAAACTTCTCTATCTTTTCTTAAGAAATTTTTTTTTTTTTTCCGAAAAATTTTCGACCCTGAGAACAAGTTTAGGAGAAGACCTCTCGACCATGAGAAGGTTAACTCTTTGAGGGTTTCGGCCGTACTAGTATGGCTTACTTCCCAGGGTTTTTGACGTACTAGTACGCCTAAATTCTAGCGCCCTCAAATCTAGTGGGAGAAAGCTGGTAGGCCTACATATGAAGGAATGGGTCTATGTGGTCAGTGTGCACAGCATAAAAAAAATCCTGCAGCACACGGTGCATAATGAGAAAAAAAAAAAAACTGACCGTTTTTTTTGGAATAAAACAGTGACTTTGCACTGTTTTTTCGTATGGTATTTATTGTTGTATTCTAGTTTTCTTGGTCTCATTTCATAGAATGAGAGACATATTACAGAAATTGAGATGACTTTGACTGGTTTTACAATGAAAAGTACCTTGAAATTGAGCTCTAAGTAGCAGAAATGTTCGATTTTTACCAAAGTTCAAAAGTAAACAAATCATGCCAAGCGTCCAATACACGTTAACTGGCGAGTCTAATATTCTTTCGCAAGTGCACCAATATTATTTATACCATTTTTTACACTAATGCAGTAGTCTGCATAACAGTAAATCTTCTATTTTTTGTGAGAATAAAAATTCAAAGTGGAAAGCAAAAGAATTTAAGAGGGGCCTTGAGACGTGACTAATGAAGAGAGGAAATGTCATTTTAGTGCCAGGAATGTCTTTCTTGTTTATTCTGGACCCTATTTGGAAATTGGCATCTTTTGAAATTTGTGTGAAATTGGCAAAATTGCTAAATTCTGGCCACTGTACTGGATAGTTGAAATCGATAAATGGGTGGTTTCTTATACTCATTCGATAGAAAAAATGGAGTTCTAGCGAAATATTCATGTTTTTTGTCGACTAGTACAGTGGAATTGGCCGAAAATGGGGTTCAAAGTGGGCAAAATCACCGATGCGTAAACATTGCCGAGACCGCTAACTTCGCGAGAGCATAATTCCCTAAGTTTTCCATCAAATTTCATAATTTTGGTGTCATTATGATCGGGAAAAGATTCTCTATCTTTTCATAAGAATTTTTTTTTTTTTTAAACTTGGCCGACCCTGAGAACGAGTTTCGGAGAGGGCCTGTCGACCCTCAAGGGTTAAGGGTTAATACGTTCACTATAGTCCTAATATTTAGTACAATCAGTACATTCTTAACCCTTTCAGGGTCGAGAGGCCCTCTCCTAAACTTCTCAGGGTAAAAAGATTTTTGGAATTTTTTTTTTATGAAATGATAAAGAATCTTTTCCCGATCATAATGACACCAAAAGTATGAAATTTGATGGAAAACTTATGGAATTATGCTCTCGCGAAGTTAGCGGTCTCGATGATGTTCACGCATCAGCGATTTTGCCCACTTTGAGCCCTATTTTTGGCCAATTCCTGTGTACTAGTTGACAAATATCATATTAATTCACTAGAATTCCATTTTTTTCTATCGAATGAGTACAAGAAACCACCCATTTACCAATTGCAACTATCCAATACAGTGGCCAGAATTTAGCAACTTTGCCAATTTCACACAAATTTCAGAAGATGCCAATTTCCAAATAGGGTCCAGAATAAACAAGACAGACATTCCTGGCACTAAAATAATAAGTTCTCTGTTCGTTAGTCACGTCCCCAGGCCCCTCTTATATTTCTTTTGCTTTCCACTTTGAATTTTTATTCTCACAAAAAATAGAAGATTTACTGTTATGCAGACTACTGCATTAGTGTAAAAATGGTGCAAATAACATCAGCGAACTTGTGAAAGAATATCAGACTCACCAGTCGACGTGTATTGGACGCGTGGCATGATTTGTTTACTTTTGAACTTTGGTAAAAATCGAACATTTCTGCTACTTTGAGCTCAATTTCAAGGTACTTTTCATTGTGAAACCAATTATAATCATCTCAATTTCTGTAATATGTCTTCCATTCTATAAAATGAGACCAGAAAAACTAGAATACAACCATAAATACCACACGAAAATACAGTGCAAAGTCGCTGTTTTAATTCAAAAACACAAAGTTTTTTTTTTTCTCATTACGCACTGTGTGCTGCAGGATTTTTTTATACTGCACACACTGACCACATAGACCCATTCTTTCATATATATGCCTACCAGCTTTCTCTCGCTCGATTTGAAGGCGCTAGAATTTAGACATTCTAGTATGTCAATAACCCTTGTGTGTAAGCCCTACTAGTACGTCGAAAACCCTGAAAGGGTTAATATTAAAAATAATAACAGGACAGAAGAATATATTAAATCAAGGTTATAATACAACAAGGCAGTGGAAATGACATGTTTGAGAGCAATATGTGGTGTTAATATTATGTAAAGAATTCAGAGGGAAGCATTAGAAGGTGTGACCTTACCAAAAGTATAATTCTGAGGACTGAGGAAGGGTTGAGGCAGTTTGGGCATTTAGAGGGGTTGGAGTAGAACACAATGATTAGATGGTGTATAAATCTGGGGTGGAGGGAAGGAAGGGCAGGTCATCCCAGGAAGGGCTGAAGAGAGTAAAAAAGATTTTGAATTATAGGGTCTATAATACTGAACAGGTTTGGGCGAGCGTGTTCAATTGGAGTAAGTGAAGATAGGTGAATTTATTGGCTTTATGTGCCGTTGGGAGTGTGAACAAGGTAATATTTATGAAGAGATTCAGGAAAACTTAGCTGGGCTTGAGCCCTAGAGGTGGGAAACAGTACTTACACTCTAAAGAGTGGTGAGTATGTTGCAGTTTAAAGGGTCATCTAAACTGTGATGTCAACACACTTCTGGCAAGACAGTGGACTGCATGAAAGATGTTGGACATTTTTTGTTTTGGGTCACAATACCTCAGTGGGAGATGACTTATGCATTAAAGACATTGTGTAGTCTGGTTTATACTATCAAATTATTCTTTCTTCTAAAATGATTAAGCACTGTATAGTTTGAACCAAAAAAAAAAAAAAAAAAAAAAAAGGGTACAGTAAAAGGCATAGAACTAAAACAAATTGAGGGAGGAAATACACACAATTACATGTTAAAAGAATACTACAGTACAAGTACGTACCAGCTTTCTTTAACGTAACTTAAAAGATGCTGATCTTCAACAGTAATTGGTGGCAGGTTTGCAAGTTCTCTGCAGTGTGCCAATATAGATACAAGCCAAGCAGCATCACTACTGCTACTGCAACTGCTCTCATCACTTTGCTCATTCATATCACTGACAACCTCCATTTCTAAGCTGCTGTTCCGTCCCTCATAGGTCAAAAGGAGTTGCACAAGGTGAGCCAGGAAGCATACTTGTAAAAGGTGAAGATCCTGTAAAAAGAGCATAAAAACATGAACTTAATTTATTAGTGTATGGTGTGTGTACTTGCCTAATAGTGGTTGCAGGGGTCGATTCATAGCTCCTGGCCCTGCCTCTTCACTGGTTGCTACTAGGTCTTCCTGCTTCACGAGCTTTATCATACCTCTTCTTAAAGCTATGTATGAATCCTGCCTCCACTACATCATTTCCTAGACCATTCCACTTCCTGAAAACTCTGTGACTGAAGAAATACTTCCTAACATCCCTGCGGTTCGTTCATCCGAGTCTTCAATTTCCAAATGTGATCCCTTGTTGCTGTGTCCCATCTCTGGAACATTGTGTCTCTGTCCACCTTGTCGATTCCTCTCAGTATTTTATATGTAGTTATCATATCCCCCTTATCTGTCCAGTCTTCCAGTGTCATCAAGTTGATTTCCCCTAACCTCTCCTCATAGGACATACCTCTTAGCTCTATGACTAGTCTTGTTACAAACTTTTGTACTTTCTCTAGTTTCCTTACATGCTTGGCTGGCTGGCTGGGGAGAGAGAGAGAGAGAGATGAGAGAGGAGAGAGAGAGAGAGAGAGAGAGAGAGGGGAGAGAGAGAGAGAGGAGAGAGTGAGAGAGAGAGAGGAGAGGGGAGAGAGAGAAAGAAGAAGAAAGAAAGAGAAAGAAAGAAAGAAAGAAAGAAAAGAAAGAAAAGGAAGAAAGGGAAGAGGAAAGAAGAGAAAGAGAATGAAAGAGAAAGAGGGAGAAAGAAAGAAAGAGAAAGAAAGAAAGAGAAAGAGAAAGAAAGAAAAAGAAAAGAGAAAGGAAAAAAAGAAAGAGAAAAAGAAAGAAAAGAAAAGAAAGAAAGGGGGAAAGAAAAAAAGAAAGGAAAAAAAGAAAAGAAGAAAGGAAAAAAGAAAAGAAAGAAAAGAAAGGGAAAGAAAAGGAAAGAAAAAAAGAAAAAGGGAGAAAAAGAGAAAGAAAAAGAGGAAAGAAAAGAAAAGAAAAAAGAAAGAAAAGAAAAGAAAGAAAAAGAGAAAGAAAGAGAAAGAAAGGGGGGAAAGAAAAAGAGAAAGAAAAGAAAGAAAGAGAAAGAAAAAAAAAAAAGAAAAGAAAAAAAAAGAAAGAAAGAGAAAAAAGAGAAAAGGGAAAAGAAAGAGAGAGAGAGAGAAAAGGGGAAAAGAAGAGGGAAAGAAGAAGAGAGAAAGAGAGAGAGAGAGAGAGAGAGAGAAAGAGGAAGGGGAGAAAGAGAGAAAGAGGGGAGAAAGAGAGAGAGAGAAAGAAAAGAAAAAAAGAGAAAGAGAGAAAGAGGAGGGGAGAAAGAAGAGGAAGAGAGAGAGGGGAGAAAAGAGAGAAAGAGAAGAGAAAGAGGAGAAAGAAAGAGAAAAAAGAAGAGAGAGAAGGGGAGAGAGAGAGAGAAAAAGAGAGAAGAAGGAAAGAGAGAGGAAAAGAGAAAGAGAGAGAGAAAGAGAGAGAGAATGAGAGAGAGAAAGAGAGAGATGAGAGAGAAAGAGAGAGGAAGAGAGAGAGAAGTAGAGAAAGAGAGAAAGACGGAGAAACGAGAGAAAGAGCGAGTGAGAAAGAGAAAGAAAAGAAAGCGACGAGAGGAAAGAGAAGAGAAAGAGAGAGAAAGAAAGAGTCGAGAGAGAGTGAGCAAGAAAGAGAAAGGACGAGAGAGAAGAAAGAAAGAGAAAGAAAGAAGAGAATGTGAGAACGACGGAGAGGGAAGAAGGGAAAAGGAAAGAGCGAACGAGGAAAGAAAGAGAGAAAGAGGAAGAATAGAGGGAGAAGAGAAAAGAACAAGAGAGAAAGAGGAAGAGAGAGAGATGAGAGAGAGGAGAGGAGACGAGGAGGACGAGCCGGAGAGAGTGAGAGAGAGAGTGTGCTTCTCCTATAAAGTTTTTCATGCCCTAGCACATGATGTTACCACCCTTCACTCTTGAAATGAATGTTCTGCAAGCTCTGTATAGCACATTAGTACCTCTGTACTAGCATGTGCAATGTACAGACTACGTGGCAACATGCAGACCCTATCAACTTCCTAATGGGAAATATTGACTCACTTCTGCTACTACACAACTGTCAACATATTATACTTGTTGGTGACCTCATCCAGCACCTTAGACAGAGGGACTTTGATTACCTTTCATTCAGTGTTTGAACATGTGAGACTTTGTTGATTTCCTATCATTTCTCTGGCTCCTCCCTTGACCCAGTAGTGAGTGATCTTGGCAGATGGGCATTGTCACTTGTCAACCCCTCGGCTACGTTGGATCTGTTCTGCCCACCAAGGCTGTTTTTTACCACACTTAAGATACCAACAGAACGAGGTGTGGCGGTCCACACGCACAAACCTGGCTTGGTGGAAAGAGGTAATTGGCCAGCCCTTTGCTCTGAGCTCGCCACACCGCTGGAACTGCTTCTTCTCCATGGGGGATGTTGACAACCCAAGTGAAGCCTTCACTGGACACATCCTTAATCTGCAAAACAAGAACACATTCCTCACGGCAATATGGGACAAAGCGCCTACAGATCGCTTGTTTGGCTTTCCGTTGTTATAGAGAGGCTTTACTGCTAAGAACAAAGCAGGCGAAGGTTAAGAGACATCATACCACCTATAACAGGAACTTGCACATGCATGGCCTGTAGGCATATGGGTGATGTTCCAAGTGGGCCATTGCTAAATGGAGGTGGGGACACTAAAAGAAAAGTTAGCATCAGGTAGGGTAGGTCAAAACCTGGTGGTCCCTGGTCCAAGGACACAGACAAGGTTTCTGCCCTGGCATGAACTATATTCCACCCTCTAATTCGACAGGGATGGGACCCCTTATAGTAGTCAAGAGAAGGCCGGACCTCTTTGGCTGAACAACTTTGCTACCAAAATGCAAGTTCTGATCCAGCAAGGGACCCTTCCTGGCTAGCTGCATAGAACTGTGTCAAAAACTGTCAGTGGTGACATTAAGGCAGGAGGGGTTGCATTTCCTTCACTTAAATTCATTGACCAGAAAGGCTGTGGGCCCAGACAAGTTGACCACAAGATTGTTGAGAAGATGTGCAGACCAGCTAGCAGCACTCTACTCGCATATTTCAGCACTGCCTAGTACAGTGTAAATGCCCTCTCCCTGGAAAGAGGCCAAATTGTCCCTGCGTTCACAAAAGAAGAGCAGAGCGAACATCAGCAATACCGGACAGTGTACTCCTGTCAATCACTGGTATGTCCTTGAGAATAATTCTCAAGACAATGACAGATTATTTTGACTTCCACTCATACTTTATGATCGTCAATATGGCTTCAGGAAAGTTTACCTCTGCTGCTGATCTGTGGTTTAAACCTCTCCAATAAGTGGCACCAGTCACTGGTTGATTCCAAAAGTCAGCTGTGTGGTAGCACTGGACATTGCTGGCGCCTCTTTAGGGACTGGGTGCTGGCACCATGGCCTCTTAGCAAAACTTCAAGCACTGGGAATCTGCATGGCTCTACGCTATTGTCTCTCAGTGATTACCGTCTTAGGTAGATCTCTAAGTGTAGTCCTCAATGGAACGGAATCAAAAAGCTTCTATTGGGGCAAGCGTTTCCACAAGGAAGTGTGCTGGGTCCACTGTTATGGAATGACTCTTCCAACAGACCTTCTTCCGTCTCATACCAGAATTCACATGCATATGCAAGACGACTGTAACCACTGCACATTCACTTATCCAAGAGAAGAATTGGCCCAGATGTCCTAAGCTAATCAATCACAGCTGGAGAGCTATATAGCTTGGGGAAGTAGATGGCAATGTAACATTTGCACCTGAGCGGAAACGAATAAATGTTGATCGTCTTAGGCACCCGTGATCGGTAATGCTGGTGAGTACGTAAGGAATGAATGGGACGATGTTGCCACTGGAGAAGATGTTGATTTCCTTGGGGTGAAATTTGACTCCAAACTAACATGAAGATCCATGTTGTAAATCTTGCAAACAACGGCAGCCCAGAAAGGCTTACTGCACTTCGCCGTCATCTCGCATACCTGCTTGATCAGTAGGGTTGCAAGATCCTGTCACGAAGGGCACAAGTACGCCTCACACCATGGAGTACGCTCCACTTTCTTGGTTTGCCTGCCCCCCCTCTCATCTGCGACGGCTTGACAGGAGTAGAGAACTGAGCAAGCCTCACGCATCTTTCATCTCTCGCCTGGACCTTCCTGTATAGATCTGCCTTTCAGCAGAGCTTCAAATCTACATAGGTGGGATGTGGGTGGCCTTACTGTTTTGTACAAGGCCAATATTGTCAAAATACCACATTGGATCAACTTCGAGGACAGCGTGTGAAACAAGCTTTTATGCCACAGACGGGCAGAAAGCAGCAACTTCACTTGGCTGTCCCCTTCCCCAGAACACACTCCATCTGAGATCATACATACCCGGGATGACTCGAGTTGGAACACTTTCGTACAGCAAAATGAGTCAAGGGAAATAACGCATTGATAAAAATGAAAAGCTGGCCCACAGATGGCTCCAACTTCATCCTTTTCCCTACTTGTATTCTCATAAAATAAAAATGTTTTCAAATGAGTTATGTGTAACAGCTTTAGTTTCCAATAAAGTAGGAACCCTTAAACCCTTAAATACTTCAAAAAAGCTAGGGATTTTAAAACCTTGTCAACCTGTGTAAAAAAAAAAAAAAAAAAAAAGAAAAAAAAAAGAGAAAAAAGAAAGAGAAAAAGAAAAAGATAGAAAAGAAAAAGAGAGAGAGAGAAGAAAAGAGAGAGAGAGAAAGAGTGTAAAGACGTGTCCGTGTGCTCACAAACTTTTTAAATATTATTTAAAACTACAAGGTTTGGCAGGAAAAAAATTTGTTCAGTGACGTGTACTCCCTACAACACATAGTACAAAAAGCCATCTCCTCCAAATTATAAAGCAATACATGATATTTAAGTGGGGTAGGGGTGAACATAGGTGGATGGGGGACAGCGGCAGGCCTTAGTGACCACTTTTCCCTTCACAAAAGGCATCAAAAATTAAAAGTCTTTTGTGCATGCCCA